CTCATCTGTCAAGTGTGGTTGGTCTAGAACTAGATATGTCTAAGATTCATTTTAGAATTCTAGGCTGCTCTTCTAGTTTTTTTAGTTAATATCTAAAGTCCATCAGGTGTGAAATCTGTGAATTATTTATTTGCCCCTCTGAACTAAATCAGGGAAAAAAACCCTGCACACAATACCTTTTGTTTTTACCAGAAATGTATGAGTAGAAAAATAGGGGAATATTATTTTTTAATGGGATTCAGACAGTGGCAAAGATTACATTAAATTAGCAGACATGCATCACGTAAGTATAGATTCCTATAATGCTCTTAAATTCTACCACCTAGATGTCATTTCAGGTGAATGTCTTCTTTTGCATTTCCTAAATTTTTTACAGTGAGCTTATCACTTCTTGTAATAAAGAAAAAACACACATTACAAAAGTTTGCTACCACCTACTGTCATTTCCTCCCTTCGTATAATCTTCATCTCCACCCGCTATGTAGGCCAATAAGGTTAGCCTGTGTTTGTTGAATGCATGAAAGAAACTCAGTCTACCAAGGGTTTACCGTGTGCCGGGCACTGAGCTACAAAGCAAGAAAAGAAAAAGAAAAAAAACTTTCTCTCAAGAATCTCAAGTCCAATGGCATAGGCAACATGCAAGTCATAACAAAATGCTGTAATCATCGTGGTACTGATTGCCATGAAGACAGAAGAGGATGTGCTAGATTCCGATGCCCTCTCTTGAGTCTTCATTTAGGATGAAGTCTTGTGAAATTCTGAGACCCAGTGCTTGCATATGATACAACCATAGCTAATGTTGACATTAGCTGCTATTGTTGACTAATGTTGTTTGTAAGGAGAAGTCAGTTCTAGCTTTGGGGTGAGATCTACATCCTTTTAGACTGGTGTGTTAGTTTAGGCTGGCCTCTTAGATCCAGAGTCAGGAACGCAGCTTTCCCCTTAAACCCTTGGTCTTGATCCACCAGCACTGCCCAGTTTTCTTTGTGCTCCTCTCTCTTCTCTGGCTACTTGTATTATTAGGCAGTTTTCTCAGTTACCGGTCCATTCCTTGTACAGTCTTAGAGCTTCAAAGACTGAACTAGTTTAAGCCCCACATTTTCTAGAAAAGGAAATTGAGATACAAAGAAGTTAAGTGACTGCCCAAGGTCATATAACTAGTGGCAAACCAGACCCAAACTACTGGCTCCCAACAGAATGAATTTGCATGATTTCTAAGACCAATAATAATATATGCTGTTTACATAGGTGAATGATTAAAGAGTATTCTGGAGAGTTTTCAGAAGGGATTTCCATTTCCACAGCTGAATATCTGTATTGCCGTATGATGAACAGAGGTAGCTTCCACGTGGAAGGTTTGCTTGGCTAGGAAGGTACCATTGTCTTGGATAAGTTGTTTGTGACCAGCATCAAGGTGATTGGTAGATTTCTCTTCTGAAGACTGTTCCTGGAATTATACAGTCCTTGAGCAGCATCAGGTCTAATTCTGGCCTGAAGTTAGGGAAATGACAGAGTGGGCTGAGCTGGGCCGATTGGCGGATTTGGGTCCAGCATGCTCCGTCTGTGCCGTGATAGTCATGGTACAAGTCACCTTGAGGAATAAGCCGTCCAAACGTGAGGAGATTTCAAACACAGACTTCACTGTTCAGCCTGGCAGATATTAAATACATTAAATGGTCACCCCTTATGCGCTCCCTGGATCCTCTTTCCGGGTCTTGACGCAGCTTCATCCCTTGAACTTAAAATTCCACCCATAGATCTAGGTTTGGTTTCTCTTGAAGCCCAGCCCTGTTGCCCTATTTGGTCTCCAGGCTTGAAGGGGAAACTAGTCTCCTGGACATCTAGCCTCTGACTCGACTACATACCCATAACCCTTTTCCTTACTAATCGAGTCCTCCTTCCATCATTGCTCAGAGCGACTTTGCTGTATTTCTCATGCATTTCAGATCCCTTTTCTCTTTTGTCAGTCCTGCCCTGTCTGTGTAACATCCTGTGCTGGAGAAACTCAGACCATCTAGACTCAATCAACCTAGTAGTTCAGCCGCCTGTTTTTCCTCCACACAATCGAGGAACGAGATTTGTGGGTGTGTTGAAATAACCATGTGGAGCGCCCCACACGGAGCAGGCGGTGGATGAATGCGAGTTCCCTTCACCTTTCCCTGAAGAAACCCAGCTGAATCCGCAAGCCTAGTTCTGAAGGGTCCTCACGTCAGATGGTCTCTTATTAAAAAACATCTGCTTGGCATAATAGCCGATAGGCATTTAATCAGTGCGGGTCTTCTGGCTCTGGCCGAGCTGAACCTCCCCAAATTAAGCCTGAGTTTTGGAGAGAGTCTTTTTTGACCCCTGTGCCAGCCAGTTACACTTTTAGGAACACGGCTGAAAACTGACTTGGCCTCAAGTGAGATTTGTCACTATGTGTACCGTCTCTGAAATCCTGCTCTCAGTGGGTAACAATAGAAGTCATTTGCCTCCCCCTCTTCCTTGCCCAGCTCAGCCCTCGTCATTCACTTAAGTATTTAACATATGCAATTTTCTATTGGATTGAGTTTGGGAAGATGTTGATGTTTGCCAGTAAGGCAACAAGTGACTGCCAGAAAGACACTGTGTATCTAAGTACATCCCAGATTTAATCTGTGTCCGAACAGCTGGCTAAGACTTTTTTTTTAATAAGAGAACTAACTGAAGGCAGTTAGAATGGTTTCTTTTGTTCAAATTTCCTCTCCCAGAGATCAGTCCCATGAGTCCCTTCACCTGCATTATCCATTAATGCTGTGGGTTCATTTTCTCCAAATAAACAAGCTTTCCTGCCAAAGAAAATAGGCAGCATGATGGGATGCAGGGACGTGTCTTGGGACCTGCCTTTGAGGAGTGTTCTTCGTTTTTCTGGGTTGGCCCCCAGTCTTGTTACTGGGCTCCTGTTGGCAGCGGTGGTGTTGCTGCAGCCCTCGTTTCTAAATGCCCCTCGTGCTGTATTAATCCTGCCTGTGGCTGTCCAGCCCCCTTGAAAGCATCCTTCATTTCTGTTTGCTCAGTTTGCTGAATGCCTCTTCCAGATCATCTTTCACCTCTTGCTTCAAGCTCTGGGGACACATGTGGTTTCAACATAATGCACAGATGTGTCTTGGGGGAGGGGAGGCATAGCTGTGGACTCACACATCAGCTGGGGTCACTGGACTCTGAAGTCAGGGAGGTCGTCCTCTTTGAGTGGGCAGGTCAGGAGGGAGGGAAGGCAGAATGACCAGCAGACGGTCTCACGCTCTGAAGATTTCTCCACCTGCCATAAGACAGAGCCCAGTGGTGTATTTTGCATTGTAAGGAAAGTGTGAGCTACAGCTCATGTGGATCACATCACCATAAATAATGCTTGTGTATCTGATTCTAGATTGAGACATTAAGCAGAATAAGGGACTAACAACCAAAACTTCTATAGGGAAGAGACCTGGTTCTTTACGCAAATGTTGATCACCAGGGGTCGACAAACGTTTTCTGTAACGGTCTAGATAATAAATATTTTCAGCTTTGAAGACCATATATTGTTTCTGTCACAACTACTCAAACGCTGCCTTTGTAGCTCTAAAGCAACCATAGATGATATGTAAACAGATCAGTGTGGTGGCTGCCCATAATTTGCCTACCTCTGAGGTTTTAAATTCATAAAACTTACAAACGTCCTCGTTGTTTGCACGAATTAATGAGCCCTCTGTTTGTGCCTAGCCCTGTGCTAAAAGTACTTGTTCTGAATGATCACATTTATCCCATTCAAAACAATTCTGTGAAGTAATTAATAATATTGTGCCCATTTTACAGATAAAGAAGATAGATGCCTAGAGAAGTTAAATAACATAAATAAATAAAGGCCCAGCTGGATTTTGAACTAAGCCAGCTTGACTCCAGGCTCATACTCTTTACCACTACATGGTACAACCTACAGTACCTACATCATTGATATCCACATTTGCTTTTAGATCTTGACATTAGCCAGTATTTGGACTTTAGCCAAAAAAAAAAAACCATATAAACAGATAATTGCTAAAAACCGTTGTACAAATTAATACATGGCAGGAATTTTAAAAATAAGACTCTATTAGTGAGTTAAAAGAAATTGGAAGCCTTGTTCTCCTGCACTTCCCAGCTAGTTTTGCTTCTTCACACCCCCATCCGTGCAAAGAGATGAGTATGTAAAGGCATGAGGAGCTCAGAGGCCAGAGACATCCAGTCTGGCTTCCAGGTTCCAGAACCCAGTACTCTGAAAATGGCGAAGTGGAGCTGGGCCTGGAGCAATCTGCTGCTCCTTGGGATGGCCTCACCCAGGGCCAGCCGCCTCTCACCAGAAACACCAACACCAACAACCTGTTTTACACACAGGTGTAGGCTCCGTGGCTGCCCCTGCTGGTGGCATAGGCCACCATCTAGTGAGGTCCAGGGAGAATGGATCATCCCATACTCCAAGTTGTTTGCTGACTAGTGGAGGTCATTAGCATGCAAGTCAACCAAATAGAAATGTTCATTAAAGATGGCAGAAACCAGGTTTATATGTCTTTTGTTATCATTATAAAGTGTGTTCTGAAGAAAGCTTAGAATAAAAGATCAGAAATAAAGTATTTCATATCCCATCGTCTACAGCAGTGTTTCCCAAAGTGCTGTCTTCAGCTTGTGTTGACCGTAATGGAGAGGTACTCAAATAAATTTGTGAAATGCAAGACTGAACAAACTTAAACTGTATCCTTGAGGATATAGTATATCATTTTACCAAAATGTTTGTTTAGTTTTTTTGTTTTGTTTTCAGAGTTTCTTAAAAAGTTGTTTGCAAGGAACACACTTTGAGAAACCCTAACCCAGAGGCATTTCCCAATGTTAATGTTTTGGTAAATTTCCTTACGGTCCAAGATTTTTTTTTAATGGGTGAGGGTGGCAGCAGCAACAACTGTGGTGATTATTAAATCCATAAATTTTTTTTTTTTTTGTAATGGGTTATCTATTTTCTTTTTTGTGTTTGTGAGTATGTGTTTAACTTTATTTCAAGATATTTCATTCTTACAGAAAAGTTGCAAGAATAGTACACAGGATTTCTCTATACTCAATTCCCCATTTGTTAACATTTTACCATATTTGCCTTATTATCATTCCTTCTGTGTGTGTTTACACATTATTATTGCTATTACTTCTGTATTTTTAATTAGTGAAATCTGAATTGTAAAATTCTTTAATGAACTATGGACTTATTTTTTTTAAATACCTAGAGGAACTCAAATTAGGCTAGAAGTTTATTAATTCCCCCTATTTCTACCTGTTGCATTAAGGTAAATCATGCTTTGCAAGTGTGTGAAAGGTTATCGTTAGATCTCGAGGTGACGTTTTGATAAGCCTGTAGCTTGCAGTCCTATAAGGAAAGCATTTCTGAAAACCAAGGAAGGCTTCAGCTGAGGCCCACACACAGTCCTAAACTGTCTGGATTTGTGAAGTTAGCGTTCGATGTTGTATGGGGACTGTCACAACTGTTTGCAGCCAGTTTGTGGTCCTCTTGGACAGTGTCCTTTGACAACTGGGCTTGGTGTTGACTGAGTTGGTGGCCTCAGCCTGACATACCTTCCTGTCCTTTAGTTTCAGAACTAAAGAGAGCAGGCCAGAGGTCCTAGGCTTTCGAGGGACTTCTGTATTTCAAGTATCCTATGGTGACTTGTTCGTGACACAGACCATTTTTTAAATGACCTCTAATTTCAGCAGTGGTTTCGTTTAACATACGTTGGAGCCTGCGTATCTGGTTTTTTTGCAGTCATGAAATCAAAACCTCTTCTTCAGGTGGTTTAAGTAACCCAGTTTAAGCATGAAGTGAGTCAAACAAACAGGGTGCCACCTTAACAGAGACATTTGTTGGTGTTAAGGGATGTGGATATGACTTACATAACCTCTCATAGGGCGTTTCCAAAACCATATAAGGAAGCTGGAAATAGTCACCTCTCCTTTGTAATGTCAAACATGAACTCACCAGTGAGACTGGGGCTTGTGTCCTCAAAGAAAGCATGAAGAAACAACCACCAGACAGTCTTGGGAGGAGAAGGCACCAGGCATTTGTTCAGGGGGTGGATGCAGCCCTCACAGCGGCCTTGGGACACAAGTATCATCCCTTCAAGCTTGAAGCTCCCACACCCCCAGGGCCACTGGGTTGCACTGTGTGAATGGTACCCCATTCACACCTAAGGTATGTTCATACCCAACTAGAAAAAGTGTCTCATTTGGGTACAAATTAGACTGTAGGGACTAAGACTTTTTTTAACTTTAAAAACATTTTATTGTGAAAATTTTCAAAGATACTCGAAAGAAGAGAGAATAATGTAGCCAATTCTCATATACTCAACCACACAGATGCAATAGTTATCAAGATTTTGCCACATTTCTTTTGGCTTAAATATTTCATAAAAGATATTATATCATTTCATCCCTGATGTATTTTCTCCAAAAGGTAGTCATTTTATAAACACAGAGCTACTATCTTACCTAACAAAATTAATCCAGGACCAAAATTTTGATGTGTAGTTTTTACAAAGCTCCTGCAACTGGGTAACCCTACAACATGCAACAATAGGGCCTATGCCTGCATTAATACACTGATGGCTTAACAGAGGGGAGTCCTTGCTCTCAAGTCGGAATACAAATTATTTGGATGGGAGATGGGGCTGGTGAACCATTTACACTTGTGGTTCTACAGACTGTAATCTCGGGTATTGAGCTGTGCCATGTACTTCCTGGGCATTTCGTAGTATCATCAATGATTGATAATCAGAACTTACAGGAATTTTTTTTTTAAAACAATATTTTAATTAGAAAAAGCATCTGTCAGCTGTCAGGCTTCCAGCTTCCACTTTTGAGAAGCAGGATGTTGAATGTGAGTAATGACACAACAGGCCTATAAAATGCGGACTAACCCTCGGATGACTCATCCAGTACGATGCAGTATATTTGTCAAGGAGACTGAATCATATATGGGGGAAACCACTTCTCAAGCAGCCAGCTGGTTCTCAGGTCCGCAGGAGACGATCCATTTTTATCGGAAGCTTTATAGTAGCAATAATGCTAATACCCAGCACTTGGGCTCTACCATGTAGAGGCAATGGCATCGCCCGGCAGGTATGTGCTTACTGTTTACATGAACTTTATTTTCTCGTTGTTCTCTTCTGCCTAACCTTTCCGATGATGATTTCTTTTGACATTTTTTAAGGGAGAAAAAAAGTCATCGTAATTGGAAAGTACTGGGGTGTGCGTGTTGGTGTATGTGTATGTGCCACGTGCAAGGGCAGAGAGGTAACCCCTGGTCTTTTGATGGACACAGAGCTCGTGTCCACTCATCTCCCTTTCTGAAAACAAATTTCTCCTTAGATATTCAGATAGAAATGATCTTAGCTCTCCCCTTTTGTTAAGCCCTGAGTTTAAAACATGCTACCTTGGGAACAGCTTGCAGAGGTGATATACCTTTTTGGGGGGGGGGGGGTGTAGCTTAAAACTTAAAAAAATGAGTAAGCAGCAGTGAGCTCAAGGAGGTGGTCTACTGATAAGTATTTTATTTCTTTTGTTGGATTTTTGCTTTTTCCTACCCTCCAAGATGCGTGACTTAATGCAAGAAAGCTTTATTCCTCTACTGAGTGAATACGTCTATGTTTTGCAAATCATAATTTGCTCATACTGAACTCATGCATTAATTTTTTCTAGGTGGGAGAAAGAGTAGTGGGGATTTGGTAACAACGGTTAATTATAGCTTTCACATGATCTGAAGGATTGTTCTGCATAATTGGGAGGCTGTGTCGCCTGTCTGACCCTCTCTCTCTCTCCCTTCACTCACTAAATTTAAACAATGCCTGGCTAGTTAAGGCACATATCTCGTTTATTTGAGTATATTAAACATTCCTCTGTGTGTTGACAGTCCATTCAGTGTCTCCTCATATTTTTAAAATATACTTCTTGTGTCCTACTTGTTAGGGACAGATGCTATAGTTAGTTTATAGCAGTCCTATTTATGCTTTTCTGGTCTGTCTGTCCAAAATGACTGGGTCAGGACCTATAACACGCTGCCCATAAATTTGCCTAAGACGCAGCATTTGTGGAGCAGCCCGTCTATGGTGGTAAATTCTGCTATCACTCGGAGAGCATTCAACAGAGCTGGGTTAGCAAGCTGGAAAAATAGGCAGTCTTTGTTCTCTTCTTCTTTCCTGTAAAGCCTATATATGATTTGTTTTCCTTGAGGTATGTGTACTGTAAACTGTCAGTAAATGTTTTACATTCACTTAAAGTAAATTCAGAAAGTCAGATAATATGGAAAGCCAACATAAAGGCAGTTTGTTTGGTTTGTTTCTGTTTGTTTTGTAGATTAAGGGGTGCACTTTTTTTAGACTGGCCAATTTGTTTTTTGAGACAGGACCATCTCTAAATTTCATTAATTTTGCATTCTATAAATGAAAGCCACCTGTTATGCTGTAATATGCTAATTATGGTAGAGGACAATAATGAGGAAGGACAGTATTTGAAATATGTGGGGGTTTTGCTAAGAATTTTCCTGCCCACATCTGTAGTGCTTATTTTTATATGTGTATACATGCATATAGAGTGCATACTTAATAATAGCATTTGGTGATATTAAAAAATACTTCAGTTTCAAAGTAAGGGTCCTTTTTATTCCTTCTCATTAACATTTTTTTTTAAGTTGTGGAAGAAAAGCTACTTAAAAAATGTTAGCGTGAACTAAAGCCTAAATTCTGCAGTCTTACAGTAAACGGGGTTCTCTCTCCACGCCTTGGTGGATGCCACACTCAGCTCAGGGTTCACTTTGTCAAAGTGGTCAGAAAAATAGTGTGACTTAGTAATGTGAATTAAAGGCAGAATAGCTAATTCTCTGATTTTGCTGAAATCTTAGGTTCCATTATATCATTTTTCTTCCTTGAGGCCTACAAAAAACGATGACAGGCTGGTATATAAAAATATATCTTTTAAGGTTCTTGATTTATTGGCTTTTTCTGTGAAAATGTATTACTTTCCTCTGATTTGTGTAGTTGAGACTAACTCAGGTCCTGTCCAGATTATTTCAGAGCAGCGTAGATTTTGTTCAGCTCTGGTTACATTACACACTCTGGACATATTGATCATTGCCATTCGACAATGCTAATCACCCCCAGGGTTGTGGCCACTGCTCGCCAGAGGCCCCTTTGCTGTTAAGCACTATGAGCCATCGGTCCAGAGTGACTACGTGGTTTTTAGAGTCCTCCTTTCCCTTTTGAAGGAAAAGGAATACAGAGCCACAGCCATACCAAGGGTCTCATATCATTCAACTTGGAAGTGATCAATAGATATTGAGTGAGACACTGCCTATGTTCAGAGTTATGGGCTGGGTTGCGTTAAATTAAAAAATGCTTGTGATCTGGGCCCAGCCCTCTCTTTGCTTCAATTCCCTCTTCAGTGAGGATTCGTCGTTATTGGTGATAGATTCCTCCTGGGTTTTCTTTTATTCATAGATTTACTGGAGTCTATAATCCAAAGCCACTAATTGCTCTGTGTAGAAGCAACTTTTAGCTGTTCCCTTCTGGTTCTTCAGAACCTAACTCCTCTTGGATGGAAGTCAAGAAAACTGCCCTACTCAAAAATTCATTTGATAGTTTTGATGGCCATGTTTTCTGAGCCAAGTAGAGTGACAACCTCGGACAAAGAATTTTTTCCTCTCTCTCTTCTTCCCTTGGAGAGAGTGGCAGTTAGGCAGAGCATTTGAATCCTCACAGCTTAGAGCATCCAGGATGTTCTAGTGGAACAGATTGGGAAAAGCTATCCTTGATGTTTATTCATCTTTGAGGTTTGAAGACCCCGCCCCTTTTTAGCATCTGTTAAAACTGTGTTCTAATGACTCGAAGCTATAATGAATCAGTAACTATTTGATAAAAACAGGTTTACTTAAAATCACTATAGATCATCTATCAATGTTTAAAAATACTTATTAGTATTTAGAGAGAGCTGTTTTAGAGTCTGCAGTCTGTTCTTGCTGTACGGGTGGATGATTTATGCATATGCATGAGAGTCATAGCCCCCAGAGGGAGGGCTGGACCTGTCCATTGCCCGTTGTCCATTGCCCACTGTTCTGCTGTTACACTGTCCTCCCCACATCCGGGGTTTATGATCACTCTGCCTACATAGTGGGTGGGATTAATAGCACTTGTAGATAAATCTTGTGTCATTATCTGGGAATATCGACTTTCCTGTGTAGCTGAGAAAAGCCAGAGACAAGTACAGAACAGCCTTCTTAGGACATTAACCCTGCTCTTAAGGACACATAAATGGGATGAATGACCACTCTCTTAACAAACCAGCATGGACTTTTATGAGCCCTGAGCATTCTTCCAGGTGTAAGTTTGCTGACAGCTTGTTTGCATTGACATCTGTGCCCAGATAGTCTTATGGTGTATGTGGGACAGTTATGGAACCCATGCCCATTCCCAATGGGATCCTTAATCACCAATGTTCCTTCATCACTAATGATCACCACAGACAAAGCAAAGGCTTCGGAACTGGGCTGGCACGTCAGCCGTCTTAGAAAGAGCTTTTGGCTTGTATGACAGTCTACCTTCTTTGCTGCACATTGTGAGAGCAGCTCAGGGAGTTACCTACGTTGTCTTTATAGAGCTCAGTGTGCAAGGAACCGCAACGAGATACTATCTCTTTCCAGATTTCAGCCCAGGAGATGACTTTTAGTTTTCAGTGTTAATTCATGCAGTTGTAAAGATTTTCAGATTGGAAATGTCCAAGCTGGGTTTGGCTTTTTTGTGGTTTTCTTTTTAAACACATGTTCCTTGTACCCGTCCAGTGGAAGAGATGGGTTGCCTGCTGTTGCTCTGGCCCCGTGGGGCCTGCTGTGTGACTGGGCCTCTTGAATTCCATTAAATGGAGTGCAGACAGCATGTGTCATAAAGGCTGCTCGGGAAGGGTGAGGAGCAAAATTAGTGTCTGTGGGTGGGCATGTGTTCCATCGCATCGCCAAAGAACTGCAATGTGCAAAATCTGGCAGCAACTTGTTCCAAAGAAAAATAAAACAGCCCCTTTTTTCTGCTTTGAAAAATATTAAAAACATCACTAAACGCCATGTTGAAGAAGTGAAACTGTTAGAAAACCCTTGTGATTATGTGTGTGTGTGTTTTTAAATAATCTTTAAAACTGAGGTTGGGATAGAAG